CCTACTACAATGTTTGCAATCTTCAGGACAAGGTCTTCTTGACAATGCATCTGCGTTGCCATGAGATTTCCCGTTGCGATGTTCGATCTCAAAGTCGTATTCCTGCAGTAGTTCAATCCACCTCGCAACTTGTCCTTCTGGATTTTTAAACTGCAATAGCCATTTTAGTGCAGCATGGTCACTTCGTAAGTGAAATTTTCGCCCCAGAAGATATTTGCTAAAATGCTGCAACGACTTTACCACAGCTAGCAATTCGCGTCTTGTGACACAGTAGTTCCTTTCCGGTTTTGACAACGACTTGCTGAAGTACGCTATCACGACCTCTTGGTCACCATTCCGTTGGGACAACACACCGCAAAGTCCTATATCACTTGCGTCTGTGTCAACTATAAATTCTTTGCTTGCATCAGGGTATCCCAAAATAGGTGTTTTGCACAGACGGTCCTTGAGCTCCTGGAATGCGATATTGCAACTTTCATCCCAGCAGAAATGTCGCTTCTCCTCGGTTAGCTTGTGCAGAGGTTTGGCTATATCCGCAAAGTTCTTCACAAATCGCCGGTAATAGGAGCACAAACCCAAAAATGCTCTAACCTGCGTCTTGTCTTTTGGAACCGGCCAATCCTTGACAGCGGCGATTTTCTCTGGATCTGTGCGGATACCTTCTTCCGATACTACAAACCCCAAAAAGTTAACTTGCCGTTGGAATAGTGAACATTTCTTCGGGCTCAACTTGAGGTTGGCACTCTGAATCTTCATGAGCACGCGTTCCAGGTTTTGAAGGTGTTCCTCAAACGTACGGCCTACGATGATGATGTCATCCAAGTAGACCAGACAGGCATCGCCAATTAGCCCGGTAAGTACAAGTTCCATCAGCCTTTCAAACGTTGCTGGAGCATTGCACAACCCAAACGGCATTACTTTAAATTGCCACAGACCCTTTCCCGTCGAGAACGCAGTTTTCTCCTTGTCCTTAGGGTCAATTTCAACTTGCCAGTAGCCACTTTTTAGATCCAGCGTGCTAAACCACTTTACTCCTGTAAGCATGTCCAGCGTGTCATCAATTCTAGGCAAGGGATAGCTGTCCTTCTTCGTAACGTCGTTCAGACGGCGGTAGTCAACACAAAACCGCATGCTGCCATCCTTCTTTTTCACCAGCACCACTGGTGAACACCATGGACTAGAGGAAGGTTCAATAACACCATCCTTCACCATTCCTTCAATCATGGTTTCCACTTCCTTTTCACGTGCTACCGGCAATCTTATTGGCCGCTGACGGATAGGCAATTCTTCTCCTGTGTTTATTTTGTGTTGAACTAAGCCAGTCTTTCCTATGTCAGCATCGTTTGATGAGAATACATCGGCGTACTTGAGTAACAACTTCTTCGCCTTGACCAATTCGTTCGGGGAGAGAACACTGCGACAGTCTTCCAAAAGTGTGGTCACTCTCGTTTCTGCATCCTTGCTGGGGGTCCCACTCGATATATATTGGCACCGACGTAACCAATCCACTTCCTCACAAGTACCAATCAGTGTGCCTTTTTCTATAATCTGTTCCCGGTCGCAAAGGTTCAGCACACGTACTCCTGAGATGTTAGTGGACCAAGGTTCGAGCTACTTTCCATGGAAGGTCATTGTTTACCCTTTCCACAAGTACACAACGGTGAGCTTGCCCAGCGTTTCGAGGAAGACTAACCGGAACAATCGTTTCCGATCTCGGCGGAAGAACAATCTTCTTAAAGCTGTACACGTTCCCTGGTAACGCACCTTCCATAAAAAGTTCCTCCTGTCCACATTTCAAAACACCTTGCTTAACGTCGATCTCACAACAATTATTCCTCATAAAGTCTAGGCCTAGGATGCAGTCGTCCATTATATCAGCCACGATGACATTATGCAGGTAGATCACGTTGCCTAGCTTCAACTCCATCTCCTTCTCTCCACGGACGGGTATACGCTGACCGGTGGCTGTTACCAAATTAATGCGTTCTCGGTTGTATGCGGAGTCCCCAAGGAACTGACTTATAAGTTGGGAACTAACAACCGTACGAGAGGCTCCAGTGTCTATGGTCAGTTTACACGGCATTCCGTTGACCTCGCCCTTGATGATTAGACTGTTCCCATCATGGGTTTGTGAGATCGAGATCCTTGGGGCTCTTTTAACATCAGCCAGCACCCGCCCCGCAGTTCTGGCTTTTACTCGTTTCCCTGCTGCTGCTGGGCGGTGCTGTTGGCCGCACTACCCTCCTGAGATCGTTCACCTTCCCTTTCTAGGGTTCGCTTAGGGCAGCTGGATCGAAGATGGCCCTTTTCCCCACAGCCATAGCACCTAGGGCTGTATCCTCTGTTGCGGTCGCGAACTGTAGCTGCTGCAACCTCCCTGATGCGATGGGAACGATGATCCTGCCGCACGGCTTCCACCTCCAGTGCATGGGCCAAGGCGTTCTTAAGCGTGTCGTGGTGCCCGAGTCTCACAGCACCTCTGACTTCAAGGTCGCGGCTGCCGTCGAGGAATGTCTGAACCAGGTTCCCTTCAATGAGCGCAGGTACAGACTGGTATGCTTTTCGAACCATCTTCTCCACCTCAAGGGCCCACTGCTGCAGGTTCTCGTTGCTGCGCTGCACGCGATCTTTAAGCTGCGCGCGAAAGACGTGTTCCAGATGAGCGTCGCCATATCTCGCTTCCAAGGCCTCAAGAAGCTGCTCATAGGTCACTTTCTTACCGAGAGCTTCCAACACAGTTAAGGCTTGGTCGCGCAGGCCTAGGGTGAGTGCAGTCATGGCTTGGCTTTTATTCCAGCCGTTCGCCTCCATGACGGCCTCGAACTGGATTTTGTAGGCCGACCAGGAAGAGGTCCCGTCGAACGGCGGCACTTTGAATCCACGTAGCGAAGGTGCTGCAGCTACTACGGAAGCTGTAGTTCCATCCGCAAGTTTGAGGTCGTTTAGCGTTTTCTTCACGTCAGCCATCACGTTGTCAACCCGATTGTTCACATGGTTGATTCGGGTTTCATGTTCTTCGATTCGGGTTTCAGCTTCCGACAGGCGGTTGTCGTGTTGAGCAACCCTATCCTTCACGTCCCTTATCTCTTTCCCAAAGGTAGCGTGAAGGTCCTTCATGAGGAGCATCTGCTCTTCCGACCGACGAGCCTGTTCCGCCTGCTGACGGGCCTGTTCCTCTTGTCCGCTCTGCAGCTGCTCTTTCAACTGACGGACCTGTTCCTCCTGTCGGCGGACCTGTTCCTCTTGTCCGCTCTGCAGCTGCTCTTTCAACTGACGGACCTGTTCCTCCTGTCGGCGGACCTGTTCCTCTTGTCCGCTCTGCAGCTGCTCTTTCAACTGACGGACCTGTTCCTCCTGTCGGCGAGCCTGCTCCTGCAGCATCACCATCAGAGCACCTAAGTCAGGTACTGCAGATGTAGGAGCTACCGACGGGCCTGCAGCCGGTGGCTGGCCCTCCGACGTCTGCGGCGTTGCACCACCAAATCTTCGTTGGTCCGTCTCCTGCTGGCGTTGACTTCGGGTACGGACACCCTCCGTTTCCTCCTTAGGTAAAATCGGCATTATTTTATCCCACTTCTGACACCAATTGTTACGAGCTTAGGGTTCGTGACAATAAAAATTGCCGATAAAATTACCTAAATTAACACTTTAATTTACTTTACACAAATTAAAACTTAAAACACTAATAATTAAACACACTAATTCACTTAATTCCGCTCCGAAGCTTCGCTTGTTTCGCGCGAGTTCAACTCTGCTCCGATCGCATCTTGCAGCGCCTAGTTATATACATTAGCAAAATATCCAGAATGTTCAAGTAAACACGCGCAAGGTACCGAGAGTTCGAGTTTTAAACTTCAAGAAGTTTAATTCTTCGGTTCGAGACTAGATGGCGCTAGTGCGCCAATTTGAGCGCGGCGTAACAATACGTCACTAGACCACGTTTCTTTTATATATTTATAGATGTTTACAATCACAATTTTTTCGGTTTCCGAAATATGCGACACTTTCCGCTTCTTTCGTGGCGACGTAAAGTTTTTATGAGATTTTTATGTCGATGGACCCGATTTCATACTAGTGATAATATACAAAACGTCACAAAACAATAACAAAAACTTTAATACAAAACGTAACGAAACAAACTTAATAAAAATTAAAACAACTACTATGTATAACCGAAAATTTGAAATCTCAAACTATCTACATGCAAGCGCATACCAAAGCAGAATGAGGAATAAGTTCTGCTCCATCCGCTTTCTCAAATACGCACGGCGTGAGACCTATCGCAAATCGCGTCGAAACAGGTTTATTATCTCTGAATGACCGCTTCCTTCACCCTACCCCGTACCATGAGACACGCTTAGCGCATAACGATACGTAATCTATAAAGAAATGTATGGAAGCAATAACTGTCATTTTGCTTCGATGCTAACATAATACTTGAGGTCAATTTACTTTTTTCCGCCTGCCCTAGAAACGTAATACCTTATAAAAATAACTATTGTCCCTTTAGCAAATGACTTGGAAATTCTAAAAGAATAGTTAAATAAAAAATCTTTGGAGGCTTCTACACAAATTAAAGAAGGCATCAAAAATATTGCAACATATACACAATTATTAGAAACTGTGTATGTTTTACTATTGAACAGACGCAAGCCTGGCGAACTTCAAAGAATCACACTGCACGACTATTTACAAAGTGATAATAATGCATCTGATAAGTATGATGAATTTGATCTTCAGAGGCTTACTGCATCTGAAAGGATTCTGGTTAAGAAATTTAAGAGAGTTTTTATTAGAGGCAAACGTGGTCGTGGAGTACCCGTTAAGAAGTTCAAGTGGACATAAAACCATTATTGTCAATAAGACACCTGTTTTTTTTTTCTTAAAAGCCAAATATTTTTTTATTTGTTATGAAAATACTATCTATGGCTACAAAGTTCTCGAAAGGCATGCAAGGTTATCTGGAGCAAAAAAACCGTTGGCTCAGAAAACACTTAGCTATGTTGTCACAAATATTTAGCATCTCTAAAAATGACATGAACAATGAAGTACACAAAAAATCTTATAGATTGCCAGATGAAGTATACCAAACTGCTAACATATCGAAACTTCTTATTGTTATAGAAGATGGTAAAGCAGATGTTTTCAAAGGAAAGACTCTCGAAGAGATCGATTTAGATATGAATGAAGAGCTAGATGAAGAGGTTCTTGATAACGATCAAATACTCGATTATGATTGTAAGCTAATCGAAACTGTCAACTCTGATTGCATTCAACAAATGCGTAGTCAAAACAATTTATCTCAGGCTGGACCATCCCGTATTCGGACTTCTCAATAATGCGTCACTGAACAGGTAACACAGGTATTAAATACCAAAAATAAAATAAAAACAGGAAAGAAAAGAACATAAGTACCTTTGACGGATTAACATGAATGTGAAATATTAAAAGAACAACATGGAGATTTGGTGGAAAACAAAGACTGGCTTAAAATGAAAGTTTTTGTGCAAAATACTTACTACTACTTACTTTTTACTTACTAGTATATTTAGAATATTATTGTTTTATTTCTATTACTTAATTTTTTTCTGAAAATTACAATGATATATCATAATTTAAAAGCGAAGATTATCATTGAGATATAATTGATTTACAATTTAACATTTACTTAAAAGAAAAACATAAGCTTACCTAACAAATACCTTACCACATACATTTACTACACAAATCATCTGCCCGTGGCATTAACTTACCTAAGAACCTCACCTTGTGTATTTGAATTTTTATGGTGCAATAAAGTTTAAATAAATAAATAGAGGAAAAATTCCTTATAGTCAATTGCGTTTAAAGAAGTAGCTTTAGTTGCTTAAAACTAAAAGGCTTCTACCGTGTCTGAGTATTTTCCACTGTCTAAATATTTTCTACTAAGGTCAGATCCTTTGTACCCCTAAGGAAATTAATTGAGAATTTTGCTTATCACTATTGAGATTATAAAAACACGAAATAAATACTAACATAAAAATTGTATCTACTGATATATCAGAAACAATATAATCGCTGATATAGCTGGAAGCCGGTTGACTAGTATGATGAATACAAAATGTAAAAACTGTATACGGAATCACAATCTTTTCAAATATTGATGGATGTAACTTTATCATTGTGATCTTTGTAACATATATAGGGAATTATACAGAATCAGTTTAAGCGTAAGTTTCGATGGAGGTAGGAACATTTATGCAGTGTATAGATGGTATACAGGGATATTCAGGGTGCTGGATAATTTTGGTGGTGAACGGACGTACTAAGTTACCGGGAATTATTTAAAAGTGAATATTAACATATCATGTTTAATTGAAATTCCACGTCGACTAATGTAATCATACTGATTAAAACTTCGTAAATACACATTAAAAACATTTAAAATCTTGCCGCATACAGTGGACGTGGCAGGGTATTCGTCGATTTAAATATATATATATATATATATATATATATATATATATATACATTTTAATTATATATATATATTTAATGTATGAAATATTAATATATATATATTTATATATATATATATATTTTTTGAGATTAAATGTTTTTAGTATATAGTATATAATTTTAACAGACAGATGGAGCTAAAGACGTTTATACTTCGGTCGTGTGGTCATAAGCACGTCCGTATTTTTTTGTGACTGAAACACTGTTACTATAACTCACCTCTGAAGCCTCCATTCCGATCAGATCAAACTGAACCTCGCGGTACTCTGTGGTATCCCTATCTTCTTCGTCGTATGTGCCCAAGTCAACAGCTTCGTCGCCGTCCTGTACATAAAATTTATAGGTTTCTTACTTCAAATAAGTGTATGTCTTTTTAATTAATTTTTTAAAATCAGTTGAAGGTGAAATTAATTATTCTGGAGTTGAAACTAGGGATGCATCCGATACCGATATACCAGCGATACTCGAAGTTTGCCGATATATCGGCATCGGCGATTTTTTTATGACGATTCAACGATACTTTTCAAATTTCGCGTTTCAAAAATGTAGTGTAAATGCGCGTGTTGTCTCGTCTATTTCGTTGCAAACGAAACTGTCTATAGTTTTAAACGGTTTTATTTAGTTTGGCCTGTTATTTGTTATTTTTATGTTAATTTAAAAAATAACCTGACTTGCATTTTCTTTATTTTACCTTTATTTTTGAATTTAATAAACGTATCGGTATCGGTATGGGCAAAAAGGCGTATTGAAGCATTCATAGTTGAAACCTATTAAAAGTAATCGAAAGTGCACTTCAAAAGCAATAAAAGTCCCTCTCATACCTCGTCGGCGTCGGCGGCCAAAGCTGGGTCGAAGGAGAACATCTCTCGGCCGGACAATCCAACAGCTCGACCAGCTTTAAAGTCACTGCGACGTTGTTCCTCTGCCTTTGTCATGGCGTCCTGGAAAAAATAAACATCCTTATTAATATTTACCTGCTTTTTATTAAAAAAAGGATTACAGGTAAGGCTATCAACTAAAAATACTATATAAATAAAAAATTAAACAAACCTGCTTGTCCTTAATTTTCTTCTTCTTCCAAGCAAGGAAGGTTTCCAGCGTAATTTTCGTCTGATTGGAACCTAAAGCTGCCCGTTCCCGTTCAATCAGATCAACAAGAGAGATTTCATTCTTCTTTTCTTCTAACTTTTTCTTGTCGCGCTTGAGAACGAAGCCTGGAGGCAAAGCATGTCTGTATATGCACTTTGTTCCCGAGGGACACTCCCAAAACCATCCATATTTCGATTTTTCAACAGCTTCTAAGAAATGTTTACATATCTGTAATTGTGGAAAACCAATTTGATAATATATTTAAAAATTAATCAGGCATAAAATTTCTACAAAATTATCTAATCTAAACCTATGGTAACTCCAGGGAGCCATAGTAACTCATAGAACAATTGCTTGCTTCATTCATAGTACTAATTCAATTGCAGACTGGAGTCCGCAAGTGTGAGGCAGGGCAGAGATTGCCTTTGTAAGTGTGCATTCGCCACGTGATTGGTGGTAAAGGTCGATATCGTGAGGAAAGCAGCATGTCTAAGATAAAATATTTTGAGGACAGGAGATCTGCTCTATAAACCTTCTCTGAAATGAGGGGTCATTGCTCAGTAGTAAGGTTGTTCCTTTACTTTAACCACTCTAAGTTAACAATGAACTATTGTAAGATAATAAGAGGCCTAGTCATACGGTGCAAAGAGGGGTTGTAACAGCATCTTAAATATTAAAATTGTGGCAGTCACAAATTTCAAAATATTGCTACACCAAAACGACAACATAACCAAAATGGCGCTTTTTTTAGTGCCAGGTCTAGTGCAAATTTATTTAAAATTGAACATATAAAAATAATATATTCTATACGATTTTTATATAAAATTTTCTTTTTATATTTAACTAGCTAGCCAGTCAGACATTGTTCTGCCCTTTTCGACAACCCTTTGTCCTAAAAATAATCCTTAAATTCGCAAAAAAAAATATTGCCTTACTCATGGGCAAAAAAACTATCCTAATAACTAATAATATAACTATATATCTCTCAAGTTGGACCAAACTGCACACTGTATGCAAAATTTCATGCAAAATTTCAATGAAATCAGTTCAGTAGTTTAGGGGTTCATCGGGGACAAACAATCTGACACGTAATTTTTATATATAAAGATATAAAAGAATAATACGATATAAGTATTGAAAATAATTGTGGCGCGGTATTACTGGCGGCACATAGTGTGGCTTTTCTATTAGTGTAGATTGCATTAAATAATTATATATTTATTTATTTATTGATGAAATTGTCGAAAAAATAGTTTAGCAATCATAATTGGATACAGTTACATAAAAATTCCAAAGGTTAAAACAGTAATTTATAAAACCTGACTGCATAAAAATGCTTACTGAAAAGAGAAAAATTTTAGGTAGATTCTTTGTCACTCAATTCTACAACTAAAATTACTCTACAACACCCATATGTTCGAGACCCATCAAACTACGAATACTGGCTACGAATTGTGCCAAACAAATTAGACATACAATTTAGCCAAAAAAAAATTAGGCGCATGATAGGAATGAGGTTTCAGCGCCCGCACCCTGCCTCTCTTTCCGTGCTTCCCCTAGTAACCAATCATTGTTCCGGTGTTCCCTTCCTAGTTCTAATGATGGCTTAGCTGTCATGCGCCTAATTGCTTAGCACATACATGGGTGTTTCCACAAAAATCCGGCAACTTTGTGTCCGCAGTACTTTCCATTTGATATAATTATTAAATATTTTATTTTAAGATTGCTAAGTAATAGTTCAAAATATGTTTTAATTATTCTCCAAAATTTGTTTCAAATAATAATATATGTATGATTTCAATCATTTTTATTGAACCCAAATGCCCTAGCCATGTCCGCGCAGCAAAATTTTGTATTTGGGCATCCATATTTCGAAAAACAATTAATTTATACTTTAACTTTCTGTACAATTGTTTAATATTAAAATACTTACAACTAATCTCATCACGTTTTGTAATTAAATAAAACAATAAATATGTTTCCTGAAGTCGAAACTTGTGTCCTCAACTTTAACCATCAGTCCCTAGCCATAAGCACACTTTAAAAATTTTCGGTATAATATAAGTGTAGAGTGAATGTAAACTAGATGATTTTAAAGAAAGAGATGAAATTATCCGTAAGCTACACTCCCTTTGCAGCGGCCATTTTATAAATTAAAACACGTATTTGCCACACCAACGCGACAGTTCCCTAAAACTCTAAATTTCTTATAAAATACAACATAAAGTCACTGGCCCTAATGGGTATGACATAATAAATTCATCACCCATAACATGCATTATTAGAAAATGCAATAATAGCATCTTAAATACGATGAAGACAAATTACTTACAAAAGTAGACCTAATTTTATGGAAACACCCACATACATACACTAAAGAAACATTAAGGTAACCTCTGCAGTAGTCAGTTATAAGAGATCTAATCACACTGACCAAAAATCATTTATTAACATCAATATAAATGACAAGGTATGGTTGTGTGAACAAAAAATTTTCACAGTTTAAGCATAGAATAAATCAGCGCCATCTCTTAAATACTCATGAACTAACACGGAACCAGAGTTTCCACTTATGATTTTGGTTTTACTCTAGAACCTGTAGAGAACCTAATTCTGGATATTTTAAAGAACAACATCGTTGCAAGTTTTGAATATCATTTCACAATTCAAACTATTTAGTTTTGTGATGAAGAAGACATTCTTATTTTCAAATTATAATAACAGTATCATATGAATATTGATTATGTAACTA